AGGATAAAAATGTCCCGCCCTCCCAAGTCGGCCCAGGGCGTAAGTGGCCAAGACTTTCCGAAAAAGTGTCCCGCCATCTTTTGATATGTTGTTCCCCAGGTCTAATAACGCATTTCTGGATGGTTAATTTTTAGTACTTTTTTTAGAAAAAATTGAAAATTTTGACTAAGTTTTTTTTTCTGGCCAACTTTTTTTCTGGCCAACTTCAGGCAGGTGGAAATGCAGTGCATGGAGCACGTCGATAAGCATGTCTCTCTTCGTTACCCCCTCTTGATCAATCATGTTCAACAAACGCAATACCAAGCGCTTTCTATAAAAATACTTGAAATTATGGATGACGCCTTGGTCAAGAGGCTGTAGCATAGAAGTGCAGTTTTTGGGGAAGAACTCCACTCGAACGTTTGTCAAAAATTGCAGGTCTGCAGGGTGCGCAGGGCAATTGTCGATGAAGAGCACGACCTTGCGGCGTCGGGCCCTCATCCGCCCGTCCACCTGCTTCAACCAATTTACAAACTCTGCCCCAGTCATCCACGCTTTCGCCTGAGACTTGTAGGGACAGGGATAGTCCTGACACCCCTGAAGCAGCGAGGGGTGACGGACTTCCCTATAACAAGTGGCGGGAGCTTGTCCGAGCCGTCGGCGTTGGCGGCCAGGAGCACCGTCAGTCTAGCCTTGCTGCCCTTGCCGCCGTGGTCATCGTCGTTCCTTAGAACCATGGAGCCCCCAGGAAGAAGGTTGTAGAATAGTCCCAGTTCATCTGCATTGTAAACGTCCTGTGGGTTGTAGCCCTCAATCTTTTGAGGCAAGATGTCCTTCTTCCACGTGTTCACCGTAGTCATATCCACGTCCGCACTTTCCCCATGGAGCTTCTTGCACAGCACGTTATTGCGACGCCGAAACCTCGTCAGCCAGCCGTTTGAAGCCTTGAAATTCGGGAAGTCGTACTTCTTTGCGATCTGCTTCGCGCGAAGAGACATTAAGGCGCCTGACACCGGGATCTTGCGATTAAGGGCCTGCCTCAACCACTCGACGAGCTCATTTTCAATGACCACGTACTTGCCTTGACGCACCCGCATTCTCTTCTTACAGTGCTTGCTGCCGGCATTGGCAGCCGCCTCTTCAATCTTTTTCCGGTTTTTCAGGATGGTAGAGAGGGTTGACACATTCTTCAACCCTAGCTCCTGTGCCAGCTGCTTGAGAGTCAGTGGCCCCCTAGCATCATACCTCTTCCAAATTTTCAGCTTCCCTTCGAGAGTGATTTGAGTCCGTTTGCCGGCTCGAATCACCCCCGGAATGGCCGGCGGATTCCTTGGGGCTCTTGGAGCCCTTGGGGCTCTTGGGGCTCTCGGAGCCATGATGATGCGTTGATGCGCCCCACACCGCACAATTCACCAAAGATCGACTGACTGACTTCAACACAGGCGAGACACAGACTGGGCGTTTGTTGACAACGACGATGTGAAGGGGGGCGAGCCGTTTCCAGGAAAATTAGCGCTGGTGGGGTGCGCCCGGCGCAAGGGGAGCGCGGCGCACTAGAGGGAAAGGGGGGAGGGGGCGGAGGCGGCGGCGCCGCCTCGGTGACGGTAGAGACATCACAAGGGCTAACTTTTCTATGGAAATTCGGGGTATGCTTAGTGTACTAAATGTATTTGGCACTGTTTAATAGCTTATGGTAGCTTACTCGTACTAAAATTCTGCTAAATTGTCGGTTTTCCCGGATACAACGATTTTTTACCTAAAAAATGGTCAAATCGTTATAACGGGGAAATCCGCTACTACGATTTCCCCGTTATAACGATTTGGTCCCCTGTTGCCCGCTGAGTCGCACTAACGAGAATTGACTGCACTTAACAATATTTCATTATTGTATGTTGTAGAGAGGGTGGAGTGAGAGGTGGGAATGTGAGACGACCAGAGTGCCGCGCGCCCCGAGCGCATCTGGGCGGCCAAGGACAGGAGCGCGGTGGCGCGCCTGTGCGGGGCTCGCGGGGTTCCCCGTCCGGCACGAGTACGTCGCAATGTCGCGCACCCCGTTTGAGCGTGAAGGAGTTGAGATACGTCAAAATGCTAAAAATTTTCGGTCTTGGGGACCTAAAATGACGTGTTTACCATGTAGGCACTTTGAACGTGTCAAAAATCTCAAATTCTTAAGTCGCCCTACTTAGGCCCCTCAGGCACGGCCGGGGTTTGTCGTACGACCTCCAGCCTTTCGAATATGTGTTTAGAACACCATTTCTAGCATTATGAGCCCACGAACTCACCGCTGCGGCCAATCTGAAAATCTAAGGAACGGGCTAAGCGACCATTCCGTGCCGCGCCGGCCCCCGGGGCCCCCGCGGCCCTCGGGGCCACCGCGGCCTCAGAGGCCCCCGCCAAACCTGCTGCAACGCGCCGTTCAGCCTGATGCGACCACTCCGTGGCGCGCCGTCCTCCGCGACCCCCGCCGCCTCCGCGGCCCGCGCGGCTAACGTGACCACGCACAACCCCGCCCCGCCCCGCCCACCCCGTGCCTCGTTGGCGCCCGCCGGACCTGCCACCATGCGCCGCTCCGACCACTTCATTCGGAAAACCGGCTATAAGGCGAGCTCCCCAACGATAGGGCAGTGTTAACGTTAACGCCATGGCTTGGAACTGCGCTGCTGGATTCGGTAGATCCATCGCCGCGCACTGGTACAGGGGCAGGTGGTGAGCTTTGCTTGTGCATCTTACACGAACATGTGTAAACTTATATTCTTTATTATCTGTGAAACATTACTGTAATTCTTTTTTTTTTGTACCATGTCTGTCCCTTTTTATGAAATTTTGTCCAATGATGAGGAATGCTATGTGCTTTAAGTACTGAGGAGGTCTTCTACATGGAAAAGAGGAGAACTTCAAAATTATTTTTCATTTTTAGTTTAATCTTTAATTGCATATGTTAATAGTGATTCTATTAATCACAACTTAATCACACCTTAACTTAATCCCACCAACTTAATCACAAATTGATCACAAACTTATTTGTGAGGAATGTTATAGTATTGTGTAAAATTTCGTTTATCTTTGGTTAAAGGGTGATGAACAGAACACAACATTTTAGATTAGTTTTGAATCAGTTTGATTTGATCAAATAAATCAAGCCGAACTTTAAAAAATTTCTTACCATGTGAATTATTGAACATCTGGATACACTAATCATTTGATGTGCATTATATCTTAGTTTGGCTTTAGCACTGAGATTTCCTCGTACTTCTTCTGTTGTAGGTGGTGCAAAAGACAACATTTTTGTGAGCGAGGAAGGGTCAGGATTATTAACTGAGACTGCTTCCAAGTCTAATGGTGGTGCCAAACTGTCAGTTTCCAAGAACAGTTCTTTGAGGGCGGAAGGATCAGGAACCTCTGAGACTACTTCCAAGTCTAATGGTGATGCCAAACAGTCAGAGACAAGGAGAGTAACGGGACTAAAAATGTGCCGGCGGGCACCAATAGTCACACGGCAAGGGATAAGTCCAAGAGGAAGAGTAATGTAATGAACTGCCTAAAGGACCTACTTCTAGTCACTTTGGACAGGTCTACGGGTTCGGATTATAGTCAGGCAGAATCACAGCACTTCGAGGGTATGATATTTTACTTACTATTGTGAGGGTTACACGGAACTCTCCTAGACTCCACACGGAACTGACTCTCTGCGGGCCCCGGGGTCCGATATATACTCCGGGGTCCGGCGGGGAGACTGCATCTCAGATGCAGCTCGGCTCCCGTCCCATCCTGGAACGTTCTAGGCGCCGCGTGGTCACCATGGTCCCGACACTACGCGCCTGCCGCGCACTGCACGGCGGCACGTGTCAGGGTCAAGACCATGTTACCCCGATGCGCCCAATTCGGTCCTAGATGGGAAGATCTTTAGGGCATTACATCACCCCCCCCTCCCCCAAAATAAGGCTGTACGCAGAGTCAGAAACGGTGGCTAGGGAGCGAAAGCAGAGGGTGGCCGCTCTCCACCGTTAACAGTACTAAGGTTACATGTGAGCGGATAACATTATAAAGGAATACATTAATCTTGATTTCAAAAGATATAAAGATAGAAAAAATAAAAATATGTTAGGGCGTCGTAGATTGGTCGTCGCACGCTACGGGCACACCGTCGCATATCTTGCCTGCTCCAGAGGGGCGCCGACGCGACAGGGGTAGCGGAAAGGCGGCCCAGCCGCGCCGCAGTCTCCCTGGAACAAACAAAAACATACGAAAGTATCTGCCACATCAGTACTCTGGTTCAGCACTAAGCCGAGAGCGCCTATCCCCACTTACGTCTCGATCCGTCCGCCTACTCCGGACGTTCGGAGTAGGAGGCGGTTGGTTCTGTGGCATGGGGAGAAGGGGTATAATATTCCGGTCCCGCACCCGCTGAACGGTACGGCGGGGCCACAGTGAATATACCCAGTATACCAAGCCCAGGACCATGATTGTAAGGAGACAGAGCCCTACGACGAATGTTACCGACCAGTGCGGATGCAGCAGCCAGCCCCAGCGTGGTGGTGAGTATTCCTTCGCCTTCCGAAGGAGGTTGTCCAATGTCGTCATGTCGAGGGCCTTGTCCAAGTCCTGGCCGCGGGTCTCGTTGAGGAAGTCGCGGATGTCGGTGACCAGCTGCTGTGCCGTGCCGTTGGACCGTATCACCGTGAAGTCCGGAATATCCGGGATGACCACGACGTCGGCTGCCTCCAGCTCCGACCGGAAGGTAGCGCCTGCGTAGAGGGTGGCCCCTCGGACGCGCGCTGCCGTGTTGGGGGCCAGGTGGAGGACCCCCGTGAGGTCGCGGAGCATCTGGCCCTTGGTCATGTTGTGGACCAAGGACCTGCCAGATGCGTCGTGCAGGGCGATGCGAGCCGGAGAGCCGAGCGAGTAGGCCCAGCTGGTCCCATGCTGATATCCGATAAACCGATCCTTCGGTTCCCGGATGTAGTGGGGCTCGCAGAGGGCCTTGACCTTGTCGGCGTCGGACAGCATGAGGGCCATGCTGCACGTTAAGGGGTAGCGATTACCCACTTTTTTCGATATTGATATCGGCTATATGCGGAAAGTGTGCTACCTATAGACCAGATTGACTGTGTAAAATCGTTTTTCGATCAGATAATATTTTCAGGGTCAACGGTGGCCTTGAAAATACGGAAAAACGTGAGATTTGCCCGTGTGTAGG